CGTGAAACATAATGTTTAATAATCACCCACGACTTCAATAACTAAAATGGCGTAATATGTTAGATTGATACTTAAACGACTAGAATACTAACGTTAGTATTATATCCGGGACTCTCTATTATTCTCTATTATTCAGTATACAATTTGATGGCTAGTTGAACTTCATGAAATTAACATATAGCAGCCGAATTGTAGATTTCGAACCATACTTTTTGATTTTCTGTAACATAAGTTCATTGTACCAGCAGAGTAACACAGTTAGAATTATTGACAGCAAGTTTAACAAAAATGGCAAAGTAATAAGTAAAAGTAACTTATCTTCAAAAACAGACAGAGAGGTTCTCAGGCGAAATGCAGGAATGACTCAATGCCAAGATACCCCTGCATTTTATACCCGAGACCTCCAGTCCACGTTTGAAAGCATGTCACTACCCATCTGTTCAGTTTGGAATTGATAGCAATGGCTTCCCACATGGTGGTCAAATCATGCAAGTTTTGACTTGCTTAGTTAATTGTTTATAGGCTGGTCGGCTGTGTCTGAAACTGATCAGCTGGTTCTAGAATTTTAATAGAGCTAGCTGATTAGCATGTGCCAGCTCGTTCGACTGGTTTTGACAGCTTGCATCTCCAAGCGTTATGTATTATGATACACGTCCTGTAAACTATGTATCGTTTACTTGCTTGGGAATGTGAAATTTGATTTTGATAAAACTTGAAGAAAAATATAATGATTTTCGCACTGTTATAATATATAACATGATCGCAATAACTATTACACTTGACAGGTCTTCATATTTATAATGGCAAAAAACTGTAGACACATAGACAGTGTAGTCCAATCGGGCAGGTTATTATCTTGCATTGGCAATTATATTTCATTATGGATGTATTATTCGAATGAATATAAGATTCTTAAAAACAAATAATATAGACCAGTTACAATAAAAAGGTACGTGTGCTGTGATCTGGATTTAGCAAAGGCGCAACATTTAGAAAGAAAATGAAATTCAGACAGGGCAAAAGAGGGTAGATATTTGAACAGTTTATAGTATAAGCCCTTAGCTGTTAGCTAAATCACTGTGCAATGTTCGTCTTTTAAAGGCATCTCTATAGTGGCGGTGGGCCATTATTTTCCATATTTTCTTGGATATGTATGATATACGACAACTGTGGATAGTTGGTTTAATGCAATTTACAACAATAATCAGTGGAATTAAAATTGGAATGTGAGTTGATAGTGAACATAGGTTTTGATAACTTGATAGGGAAATGAGTCAATTCCGTTTAGGCCACAAACTTATCATTGTTTTCCTTTTTTTAAAAGCGACAAAACCCTTTCCATATTCATAACAAATATCTGCCAAAAGCAGATTAGATTGTACGATATCGACTTTATGATGAGTATATATTTTTTAATCACTATCAAATGGTGATGAAACCAGATGTTCGCGAAAAGGTAAGCGTAATTCCTAAAAGTAGAGTGCATACCTTCCAACTTCAGCATACACCATATATCTTGGAGTCTAGAAGCAAGCTTTATATATTTTAGGTGATTTATTTCTGTTATATCAAGTTTTTCATATCCGCAAAGGTTTGAGTCATATATAACTCTTAAAAAAAGAAAAGAAACGCAATACGGATATTTTTGGCCATAAAAGCAAACTTAGCGGACCAAGAGGTGCAAAATAAAGAGGTTTAATGTGTTGAGTGTCAGTGATAAATATCCCGGATGAAAATAATGACAACAAGGACTTGCAACCCATTAGTCGGGAACACGTACGATTCGGAAAAAAACTCCAGTGCATTAACGAAAGGGCTATGGAGCTGCACGTACTGCGCGGGCAGCAGCACTATGAACAGTTTTTTATAGTACAAGGTTTTTGATCGCCTGGCATCTGCGTCATTCCAACAGTGACAGTTCAACAACATGCAAAGATTAACAGAAGTGCAAAAAAACAACGTCATAGGCCGCTTGCAGGCAGGGGAATCCCTATCAGCTGTAGCCAGGGTTTTCAATGTAGCGCCCAGCACCATCACAAGGCATGGGTCAACACGTGATCGGCCAAGGTCTGGACGACCAAGGGTAACCACCCCCGCCCAAGATCGCTACATCCGACTGCGCCACCTACGCTAAAGGACGACTACAGCCACCTCCACCGCATCCCAAATACCCGGACTGCGCAGAATCTCCTATCAGACCGTACGAAACCGTTTAAGAGCAGCAGGTCTACGAGCAAGACCTTCTGTTCAACTTGTCATATTGAGTCGACAACATCGTCAACAACGACTGCATTGGAGTCGTCAACACAGGGTATGGCCTCAACTGCGATGGAGAGATGTCTGGTGCAGCCACGAATCAAGATTTCTCCTCCGTCGAGGGGATGGAAGAGCACGGGTCTACAGACGTTGGGGAGAACGTTACACCGGAAACTGTGTAGTGGACAGGTTTGGTGGGGATAGCGTTATGATGTGGGCGGCTATCTCTCATCATGGCAGGACAGGTTTGGTCCATATTCAGTGCAATCTTACGGCTCAACAATACATCAACGAAATTCTCCTACCACACGTCCTCCCAATTGCAGCCAACGGCAACGGTGAATTCCAGGAGGACAACGCTCGACCGCATACAGCACGGACCACAAGAGCCTGTCTACACGACAACTACGTTGATGTTCTCCCCTGGCCCTCCAGATCTCCGGATTTGAACCCGACAGAGCACCTGTGGGATAAATTGGATAGACGGCTATACCGACGTCAACCACAACACCATACGTTGCAGGAGTCGGCTATTACTTTGCAGGTCGAGTGGGCTGGCATTCCCCAGGATGTGATTGGCATACTCGTCTCTTCGATAGGCAGGAGATGTCAGGCCGCTATCGATTTTAACGGGGGACATACGCGTTATTGATGGTAGCTGACCTTCACCTTGGACTTTTTCTATGTACCGATAACTGAGATGACTACAATCACCAAGTGTTCTCTCCAAAACATTTTGGCTCAATACCTTGTACAGTTCCTCGTATAGATGTATTTACCTACCTCGAACACATCTGGCTTTGCGTTTCTTTTCTTTTTGAAGAGTAATAGGTATCATCACATCGAAAGATTTCAGTGAAGAGTCTAACAGTAGATTAATATGACGTGCCCCTTGTAGAAGTACATACATTGCCTTAGTTGCGGACCCGTGAAGATTCCAGGGTAGAATAGGTCTTCAGCAACCCATGCTTGCCGTAAAAGGCGACTATGTTTGTCGTAAGAGGCGACTAACGGGATCGGGTTATCAGGCTCGCTGACTTGGTTGATCCATGTCATCGATCCCAATCGAGTGGATCGATGCTCATAATGTCAATCACTGGATTGTTTGGTCAAGACTCGATTATTTACAAGCCGCCGTCATATAGCTGGAATATTGCCGAGTGCGGCGTTAAACAACAAACCAACCAACCAACCAACCAACCTTAGTTGCGATATTTACTAAACCAATTAAGGATGTAATTTATCTTCTGTTTCTGTGAAAACTAATACCACGATGTATATAAATATCACAGTTTCTTTCTTTTTCAAATAGTGATGCTACCAGGTGTTCGCGTGACACCTGTCTCAAACACATACACAGGCAAGTGAAGTGTTCATCCGAAAAAACATGGAAACATATGGTACAATTCAAAATAGGGAATTGCATCGGACATATTTGTTGTCACTGATGCATCAAATTTTGAAATGTCCTTCTGCCATAAAACATTTTGAAAGCTTTATTGAGACCTTAATTGTTGATTGCTTGATTTTTTTTCAGCAAGAGTCGTATGACGCTCTTTGAAATCGTCGTAGAAAGAGCATGCTCGATTGTACCACAATAGTTGTGAAATTTGAAATGAACACACGATATGTCCACCGGATGGATCACACACGTCTTATCATACCTGTATGACAGAATCTAGTCAGAGATGGTTATACGACGTACATGAGAGGCACAGAAGCATTTCAACATCATATTGTTATATGGTTGTGTATTTTGTCTTTGGACAATGATTGTAACTGTATCAAATTGTTTCTGTTGAGATTCAGTAGAGGCTCCTTGCAATGTATTTGGACAATGATTAGTTGTCAGGAATGTGGTACTATTTAATCTAAGCAGTGGTGATGAAGTTATATTCAGATGCCAGTGCGATGTGTAAACTTACGGCATAGCATAGATGGATGTCAAGCGTTATAGAAACTTGTGGAATATTCTGTGGTGTTCTTGTGACACTACACTAGTCTGGCACTGTATGGAAAGTTCTGGAAGCTAGTTGGACTATAAAACTGGAGCAGGCGAGCGCCTATCTCCATCTTACATTTCAAAACACCAAGACCAGTTTTCCAGTGAATATCACGTATCACCCCGGATTTCCAGCCTAGGCCCGTCTCGGAAGTTTGACCACTGTCGCTGCTGGGTAAATATATAATTATCACCGACTTTTGCTGTCACAACTGTTTTTGTACTTGATACTGGCCACTGCTATCATATTATTTATTGCCATTGAATATTGTAATACCATTCTATTGTTCACTGCCATTGTAATTTCTGTGCAGTAGTTTGTATTGATTTGAAAACCTAGTGAATCTTGAAATGCATTTTTTAAATGTATACCATTTGTTCCCCGGATCTTCTCGGGTTCTACATTTACGAGATTTTAGTCCTTCATAACATATCCGAACATCTTTGCTAACACATCCTCGAGAAGTGAGTATTCGAATCACAACAGTCTCGCTACATGTCTAAAAGACGAAGCAGCAATGCCCTCAATAGATACCAAGCCTCCTCTTGTCCTACATCCGCGTTACCGATCGACGAGGTGCCCATGTTTCCCATGTTCAACTGGCAACAAACCAGATGTTCCCATGTTGACGTCGGTAACGGATTGTATAATTCGTGTGCAAGAGAGGGCACATTCACATTTGTGAACGCAGATGTTCAAATTGTCTGTATGTCCTTCGTCATAACATTACACTATTTAAATGGTTGTATTCATCGCGCAGACAGCAGTCGGGAAGCAGGCGTTCACGATTTCGACTTCCGTGGCGGCAGATGACGGTCTGTGGATTTTGCTAGATAGGACCCCTACCTTTACCTTGGACACAGACTCACCAAGTCAATCCAAACAATGAAGACGGAACTTATCTTCATATTTGTTACGGTATTCGGACTGCTATGTTCCTATCTGCTTGTCTTATCGTTTATCAACAGGTAAGATTTGTACAGTTTATTATTCGTACATATATCGTGGTATAGTCACGGTAGGAGCAATATTCCACTGTGTCTAGGTCAGTTCTGTATTTAAATATCACATTTGATTCACCGATTGTTTGACACTGTCAGTTTAGTCACTGAGAGATATAATATAATTCGTTTGACCTCTAGGCATGTACGTTAATACAACAGAAAGATTAACATCACGTTGGTACGCTCGAAAATGTCACTTAAACCAGGACATTGTGGTAATGCAGATAGGGTATTCATGCATGGATGATATACAGCATAGATGTTCAGTCAGCAGACAAAATGGTCGAGCGTGTGTTTGTGGGTGTTGCGAGGCAGGGTACGCGCACTTCTCAGAGATACATAAACACGGATATCATCGGAATTGTACAATGGACTTAGCAGAGATTTGGTGGTTGGGGGAGGGGGTGGTGCATATGAAAATACGAAATAGTTTTTTAATATATATATTTCTTTTATACATTTGAACATTATCTAGGGACTGTCGTTTAATAGGGTGTGTGGGTGGGTGGTTGGGGGTGTTATTGATTTATTTTAAATTGAAAAAAAAGACAACGAAGTGGTGATATATGTTCAAATATATATTAGATTGTTAAATTATATATTTGGCTTGAACGTGTAATTGAGTGTTATACGGAATATATAAGAACATGCCACATACATGCTTCAGTTATAACGTCCCCTTTATTTGGCGGAGCAAACTGTACATTCACATGCAACAGCTGCGGATACGTTTTTCATCATGACTGCTCATTTGTGACCAAATGACCAATCAGTGTTACAGGTCATGCAGAATACACAAATTTTTTTTGTTTTTTATTTGTTTGTTTGTTTGTTTGTTTGTTTGTTGTTTAAGATCCAGGGTAGAATTGATCTTCATTAACCAATGCTTGTCGTGATTAACGGGATTGGATGGTCAGACTCACTGCCTTGGTTGATGCATGTTATCGTATCCCAATTGTGTAGATCATGATGTCAATCACTGGGTTGTCTGACCCAGAATTGATTCTTTACAGACCGAAATCATATAGCTGGAATAGTCCTGAGTACGGCGTTAAATAACAAACAAATAATGAAAAAAACGTGAGTGCAATACTTTAAAACACTGTCCTTTTAAGTATGAAATCAGTAAAAGTTTATATTAAAAAAATTGTCATTAAATGTTAAATAATTCCAGTATTCTAACCGGCACGTTGTACAATGTCCAATTCAACCATGTGCCCTATTGGAACCAGGAAATGTCGAAATATGCTCATCAAGAGTCTTTTTTTTATAGTTTTGTTTATTTTCTTGACGAAATTTTAATTTGTTCATGAATGCACGCGCACGATGTTAGTCGTCGTAATTCGTTGTAAATGATCATTGCGAAAGAGAAAAATAAATAGTTTATGGATGTGTCACATGTGAATAGATGTGATACATTAATAAATGTGAACAAAATATCACCTCAATAGTGTATTGGCTTACGAAGTCACACGACATACATTTTAATAATTAGAAAAAAATATATTCAACTGACAGATGGGATCGACGCATGATTTAATCATATCCAGGCCCATTGTGAATGCAGCGAAATGGTTAAATGATACTGTCTGATGCTCAGAAGGTGATGAACGAGTGAACATGACCTGTTTCACCTGTGATATGAGATAAACTTCACATTTAAGGAAGTAATGTAGGCGCAATGGCAAACACGTGACATGAAATAAAAGCATGACCCATAATGAAAGTCGCGGATGTATTATTTTTGTAATATAACACAGAAATCATAGCAATAATTTTCAAGATGGCAATATGATTACATTCAATCAAGTTGGAATTGTCAAGACAGTCTTCCCTTATTCACCATAGAAAGTTGATTAAGTGACCAGCCGCATCTCGGAACTGAATGGATGTCTTACTTCCGGAATCGAGATGGTCCTTCAGTCTCATCAACCTGTCTCAGTAGACACGAGTTCGGAATTGGGGATGGGCTCCGAGATCCATTGGGGCTCGCCTTGCTCTGTGCACTGTCCCATGTTTATTAGGGGAGTCACCCCTGGTCAAGTGGTAGAGCGTCCACCCGGACAGCGGAAGGTCCGGAGATCGATCCCATACCAGAAGACGTTAAAAATGTTACTTGTTGTTACCCTGTTTGGCGCTTGGCATTAAGGGGCTAAAACAAGGACTGGTCGGCTCTGAGTCAGTATACTGTGTCTGAGTGGGGTATTCATGTTAAACTGCGGCATGGTATCTCACTGGGATAGCACTATAAATCGGCATCAGTCCGGACTAATACAATCAGCCACACACACACACACACACACACACACACACACACACACACACACACACACACACACACACACACACACACACACACACACGTGCATGCACGTCGTTATATAAGTGCAATAATCTTGGACGCGACGTTAAACCCAAATTCACCTCACCACCTACAGTTATAACGTATAATCAATAATTATGTATAATATCCCAATTTTCAGGTATTATTTGTAATACCTGTTTCGGGTATAATACAAAATAACTAAAATTTGCATTTATTATATATAATATCTGAATTGAAATTGCAATATTAATGTACAGTCATTAACTTTTGTGCTGTTTCATTTGTTTTGATAGGATAGTTCACTTACTTACTTACTTACTTACTTACTTACTTACAGAAACTTATGAAAACATATTTTTATTATTATATTTTATCATTTAACTAAAGCATTTATCCATGACATAAGCTTATGACATACAAACATGTATGTCATACCTCAATGACATAAGTATGCAAATTAGATAACCGGAAGTGGGACTATTTTCGCCGGTGCACGTGAGTCACACTCCGGCGCAGTGGTAACACCACTGCCACAGGCTGATTTGCATATCACGTGACCGGACTTTTCTCTTGTTTGTAAACAAACGCGCTTTTTCAGAAACTTGGCACACTTCTCTGCAGGTTTTTCATTTGTGTTCGAAACTCAAATGGGGAAAATGATGAACCAAACAGTCTCAAGGATTTTCAGAGCAGCATCGAGAGATCACAAAACGAAGGGGGTATGGCTATTCACTCACGTCATCTTTAGAATTTTCACGATCACGGGAAGTATTAAAGGGGAGAACAAATGAACTTAAGAAAGAAGGGCGTGGCAACTTACCAAGGAGGGCCGACCCGATTGGTGATGAAGAGATCGAGCCCCTGTGGCAGTCCGGATCCATTGGAATCACTCATCCAATGAGCATGATAAACTGTCTCTGGCTCTACAACACAATCCATTTTGGGTTAAGAGGTGACAATGATCACTACCGTTATCGACAGTAGACAACACAGTCAGCGGTCTCAAATAATAAATGTTTCTGGTGGTGTCAACACTATGTTTGCTGGCAATTTTACTGGTGGAAACATAACGATTAATCTCGTTAAACCTCTAAGCCCGGTCCCAGTCAAAAGACGCCGGATTGCCATCGAAAGTGATGTTGACACCGACTAATGCATCTACTCTGTCTCCTCCGCGAGACATTTCAATCTATATAAGTGAAGTTACACCAGAGATATCATCAGATTACACAGAATAGTTGCTGTTATCGTTATTAAAGTTTCAATTATTCTGCAAAAGTCTGTTCAAGTATTTTGTTTAAAATAATCCGAGGAACTTTTTTCTCAGCCAAGGGATATGCCATAAAGGAGTTAAGATGTTGTTTATTTTGGTTTACAGGAACGTCACACGGCTATGGAAAACATGTATCACTACGCAGGTATCTATACGTAAGATTTCGACAAGTTGCTGATGTTAATGTTAATGTAATTATTCCTTAAAAGGGAAGCAAAAATGTGAAAATGATAAATAGAATTCATCACTCGTGTTTTTTAATATGAGAAATATCAACCTTGTCCCGTTAATCGATATTTGCTTCGCCAAAAGCTCGGCAAATACCGATTAACTAAGACTCGGTTGATATTTCCCATATTAAAAAACACTCGTGATGAATCCTCTATATAGTATACATTTATATACCGCTGGTATTAGGTACGAGTATCTGCTCAAATGCTTGTTCCCAGACCAGTGGATCCCTTTGCATTCCAGTTGTCATTCTCTTTGTGTAAAGTATTGTTGAGTGATAAATATTAAAGTTGCCTTCTTAATAATATTAACTGACGACTACAATAGAGAGGTTAGCTATTGTGTTGTTTAATTTAAAGTATATAGATGTCCATTGCAATAGATAAATCCGTTATACAAATATTATGTTGACCCGTGAAGATCCGATATCTCCAAAGCAATATCTCCTGTGAGAGGCAGTTTCGGATGATAAATCGTTTGTACCCGTGTGAATCGTCTTATGACATTTATTGCCTGTTACAGGAGTCCCGATACACAGAATATGTACATATTCTGAAAGTAATGTGTGATAAGACATGTACCAAACCTATACTCTTTATGTACATATTGCTCTTATTTAAGAACTATTGGTTTAACAAGATACGTGTATTAAAGTGCCATGCTTTCCTGCTGTGCTATCATTCCAATTTAAAATAATTACAAAAAATTGGTACCACTCATCTTTCAATATATATATATAAACAAGGTTGGGTTAATCACAAATATATTAGAATGAATACAACAGTTATACTTACTTAATATCTTTAATTTGATGATTTGATCATTTCTAAATAAAAGACCCTGCTAATTTCATTGTACTATTAACAGAGCTGACTCGTCCCATATGCATGTATGAAAGGACAATTATATATTTCAGCACATTTTGATGTACACGCTTCAAAAAAAGAAACGCATAGTTAAAAAATAAGGATATTTATTAAGCGGATGTAAAAGTATCTACACAGAATATGCTTGAATACAATCAAATGAAATTAGACACAGTGATCGACAAAAGCATTGTCGTCATTGTCAGCATTAATTCAGTTCAGTCATTGCACATGTGTAGCCACAAGGGGGCGTCATGGTCAGTATCTG